GGGGCACAGCACAGGACCTCAGGACGGCACCTACATGTCGCGTGCGGCCCAACATCTTTCTCTTGAACACCTTAGTGCTTTGGTGATGTGTTGCTGAAAGGATCTTTCTCTCGAAAATGCTCCACGAGCTGTATCATCTGCCTCGACCTTGTGGAGGACAGAAAGTCCTATGGCACCGTGGTGTGCCCAGCGTGCAAACACGCCTGGTTCCACAGGGGCTGCATCCAGGTAGGAGCCGTTCCCTCGCCCCCGGGGCACGGCAGCCGCTCAGCAGCACCAGGGCCTCACTCCTGCTCCTTATGTTTCTCCTGCAGGGACAGGCTGCGGGCGCCGGCATTTCTTGCTTCCAGTGCCCCCTCTGTAGAGATAAGGAGCTCTTTCTCGCCGAAATGCTTGTCATGGGGATCCGAATCCCCCTCAGGTTGGTGCCCTTCTGCACGGCTCACAAGACAGGAGGGTGCAAGCGCTGTGCCGTGCCAGGGCCTGCCCCAGCAGTCCTGGCCCTCCGCTGTCCCGTGAGTCTGCGCTTCAGCTTCACGCAAGGAGCTGGAAACAGGGCAGAGAGGAAAGAGCAGGGGCGCCCCGCGTCTGCCTTATTGCGGGGCAGCAGGGGCTCATCAATTTTCCTTTCTCCATCAGACTGCCGTCATGGGAGGAGAGCCGTACATACGCAGCACTAAGTGAGAGGCACAGCCGCTGCGATGCCAGTGAGTGCCTTTGCCCAGGAGGCAGGGAGCAGGCAGAGGAAGAGGGGTAAGTTGCCAAAGCTGCACCCCGGGGTTCTGCACGGGATCTCTGTCTCGCCAAGGGCTCGAAGCGGAAGGACGAAGAACAAGAGCTCTGCCGGACAATCCCGTGCTGTGGTCACTTTGTCCTCACAGCCATGAATCTGTTTGCTTCCCCAGGCCCTGGCAACTGCTCCTGTGCTGCTCCTGCGCTGCCGAGGGCACCCACAGACGCTGCTCCTACTTGAGGAACAGCACGGCCAGCTGGGAGTGCGACAGCTGTGCTGGCCTGGGCACCGGTAAGAGGCAAAGCACCTGGGTACTCCTGGGCTGGGGCCAGGGGCCAAGAAGGCCTGCCAGTGGGTGCCCACGGTGCGTTTGGCAGTGTCTCTGCTCCAGCAGACTGTGCAGCACATAGGCGAAATGGACATAAAAAGTAGAGGCTGTATGTAAAAATATCATTCATTCAATAACAAGCATGCACCACCAGCAATATTTGTCCTTAATATTTATTAATGTAGACACAATTAGAAATTACAAAAGTCAGCTGTGTGAAGAAATTGAAATCTATCCATTTCATAAGTCTTCCTGTTATATATGTATTTTCATAAACTTCTGGCAAACTTTTACTCTGGAAATAGTGCATTCCAAGTATGTGTAAATGAATGTCAAACAGGATCTCTATTATGTTCGGCAGTATATAGGTTATATAGTCTTACAGACACAGAGCTACCTTCTCTTTCTCAACCCTGTTCAGCACTGGGGCCTGAGAACACAGCAAAATAACCCTGTGTTGTCTTTGTTCCATGATCAAATTTTCAGAAGTCTTTCAGAGTAGCAAGTCACATTTAAACCATATAGATGAGAAAAACAAACCTCAGTACAAACATTGATTTAACACAATAAACATGTACCTATTTAGAAACAAAGTTTTACTGTCTTTTCCAATATTATTTCCTATTAGATCTCTAGAAGACTCTAATTTTGAAAGTAACATTTTTCTGTGACTTCTAAGAAGAAACACGAACCGTGTCTGCCCAGTAAGATAAGGAAGATTTATTGTTTTGCTTTCACTTTCCTTCTTGCATCCTTATGCTTCCTCCGGCATTTTTTTTTTCCTAAAAATATTTAAATTTTAACATGATATTATGATAAGTTTCTAAATTCATCTGTTTGTCTCCAACACTTCTCTTACATGCAGTAAAGTAACCAGTCCTGTACAATACAGACATTCAGTAATTTACCTGACTGGACATCAGAACATTATGTTATACACACTTCTATGCTAAAAAGTTTTAGTTCCCCGGTAATTATAAAGTTTCAAGCCCTTCTAAAGGTCCTGAATTAATTTTCAATGCAAATTAAGCAAATAAGCAGCCATGTTTGCTCCTCATGCTGAGCTTCAGCCACAATTACGAAGTAGCAGTGGTTAAATACTCACCTCAAGCAATAAGCTACGTCTGTCTTCCCAACCATCTTTTTCTTCACTGAGGTCTAATGATCTACAAAATAACTTAGGGCCCTCTGCACAAAACAAAGAACGAATTAATATGGTTGAACACTTCTGAATGTGCTGTTGTTTGTAAATCTCATGAGCAACACAGCAATAAGGCCAGAAGGCCTATTCTTCATATTCCTCTCTCAAATAGAAATGTTATGTATTACAGCCTTGTGTACTAAGAAAAATGAAAGGCAGAAGCAGTTTTCCTTAATATGCTGAAAAATAAATTTCAGTGAAACAGCATCTGTTTCATTAAAAGCTCAGCACCATTATACCACATCTCCCAAGAAAATTTATGCCTGCTAAGGATTCAGAGCTCAGCTGTAACAGGCTCAATTTTATTCAGATAAGCTGGAAGATCACAGTACAATAACTGTATTAACACAATAACTTTTACACATGCATTTAATTATAGTTATCTAACATGTCTCAGGAAGCAAACATTATTTAAGGCTGTCCTGATCAGTTATTGTATAAAATATCAAAAGCAATTGTTTTGGTGGCCTCTGGGTTGTTCGAGGTTTTTTGTGGGTTTTTTTCTTTGTTTGTTTTGTTGTTATTTTGTTTGTTTCTTTTTACCTATGAAATTTGTTATATTCACAAGAAAAAAACCGATGTTATTTAGGATCAAAAACCATGTGGGCCTATGGGGCTGATAAGAATATTCAACATTCTTAACAATAACACTAGAAACACAGAACAAAGTTAAAGATCATATATATGCCTGAAAGGATCCAAAATGTCTAGATAACTTGTCAAGTGATTTTTTTTTTTTGGTAAGCTAAAAGACCAGCCACATATTAAGCAATTATCTGAAAACAGGAAAGCAAGATAGCTGTTCAGCATTTATTTTACCAGGACTTTCTCATGGGATGTGCTACCACAATTCATACCACAAGTAATGATGGAAATTTGCGATTTTTTTTCTTCAACCTCTCATCTGTGTTTTAACTACAAAACATTAATAACTAGGCAGTATTTTTTTCTCATTGAATTTCAGTAAGAGTTAGAAAAACGGGATGCATAAGTTCTGTTATACCTCTTAGTCGTTCATCATCTTTGGAGAAGAAGAAAAATCTAGCACTTTCTGTCTGTGGTAAAGAGAAAAACCTAGACAAACACAAAGGAATTTTAGCATCATAAAAGTTACTGTCAAATTCCATTAGCACAAGTTAAAGCTCTAATGCTTCAGAGAAATAGTATGCGTTGCATAACATTACTCCATAGTAACCAAATATAGCCTTCTATTAAAAAAACATTTCTTTAGAAAACTTAATATGTATTTGACTTTTGGCCAAACCCACTACCCAGTTAAGTTCTCATTCATTGAACTAGAAACTCAACTTTTATATTCAACTTCAAATCAAGTGTGGTATTGGGATCTTTGAATATTACATTCTGTGCAGCAAGGAATGGTTTCCTAAGACAACTTCCATTGTTCAGAGATGTAGAATGAATATGTTAGTTTCCCATGACCAGAGTGCTGCTATTAATATTCTCATAGCATCAAACTGCTACAACCGAGTAGACAACAAATACAAATATAACTTGCATTTCTTTGTCCCTTTCACTTTCTGATGCCTCTGGTTCATCATCACCCTCAGAACTGCTGTCTTGGAAACGTGGATCTTCTTGCCATGTGACTTTTACAGGTTTTATTGTTTCAAGTATGTAGGGCTCTGCAATAATATCACAATAAAAAAAAAATCAGATTACTCTCCTACTTGCCAGTAAAAATTTCTACTTCAGAGTGAAATACTTAAATTGGAAAAGACAGATTTAAGAAGGACAAAAACCTCCCCTCCCAGGTTTTCTATTACCCTCTGGGGAGGTAGGAATTTCATTTGCTTTCTCATACGTCACAAATGTCACCCTCAAAATTCGCAACTAGTACCATCACAGCATAGGGAAAAAGTCCAGGAGTCCTTCTGAAGCTTGTTGTCAGGGTCCAGGGTTCTATCAAGTCACTCCAACCTAACAATCATTATCAGCTGAGTTAGGAGTAATTGTGCCTATTCATATTTTTTGCTTGCAGAAGTTGGAATAAAAGCTTCCTTTCACTGTGAACTATCTTAATAAGTTCCTTTGCAAAGAAACTCATAATGCTTTAGCTTATTCTTTCTGTGTGCTCAAGCTATGTTATTTTCATGTATGTACTCCTGCCTATAGCATACGCAGCCAGTTGCCAGAAGCCCAGTTTACACATGGTAACTTAAACACGTACCTGAGCCCTTACTACTTCACCTAGCCAAAAGGACTGAGGTTACAAACCTATGATACCCTTTTCTTTTAGTGTATAAGCACAGTACTTGTCTGGATGATCAGAATAGAGAAAACAGCTCCTGTACTGCCTCTCTCTGGCACTATAGAACAGTTTCCAAACCCAACAGTAACCAGACTATGAAACACAAACAGTATTTTATTCAAGAGAAAGATCAGAAAATTCTTCTTTGGAAAAAGTGAGCATTTGCAAGTTGAAATTGTCCACAAAACACCTATAGTTTGTGCTCAAAAAAAAAGACTATCCACATGTTCTTCCTTCATGGTTTCCACATGACACACATGATGTCAAGTCAGGTTAAACAAAAGCAACAACAACAACAACAAAAACCATCACAAAAATCACCTAAGAAACTGAGGTATGTGCAATGGAGAGAGACTTACCTTTTCGTTTGTGTCAATACAGCAGCGAGCACAGTGGCCCTGTTGCCACCAAAGAGGATTCTTATGCAATATAAACAAATAATTATTCATAATAGCAAATATAAGACACAGTACTTAAGCATGGGTCTCGGTGGAAAGAACTTTGTCAACTCTGAACTACGTATCTGCTCAGGTATTTTCCACTTTGTTCTAGAGATCTCTTACATATTCTGAAACCAATATTATGCATTCAGAAAACACTGAATACTTTCTGAAGTCAGCAGAAATGTGGGGGTTTGGGGTTTTTGTTTGTTTTTTTTTTTTGTTTTTTGTTGTGTTTTTTTTTTTGTATTTCAGTTAACTTCACACAGTCTGTTTCCTACATTACTACTTAATAAGTGACTTGATTTCAGATTTTTTCTTCTTGATTACATAACATTTGATTTTATCTTAGGTTAGGACAAACTAATAATCATGTGTAATTCAGTTTCAATTTTCTAAAAGTACAATAAAACTAAGTACATAATAAAATGTTCTTGGATCTTGGGGTCAACTCTAAAATTTTCTTTTGCTCATAATACTATGTTAATTAACACACATCTTATTTAAAATCTTGTTGGTTTATATGAAACCTGATTTGACATTTGTATCACCTTTTTCCCTGTTTATTTGAGAAATTTAGTGGATGACAAGTTTTTCCATCACTGTTCAAAAAACAATTAAATAATAGGTCCTTCTCAAAACATCCCTTTCAAAATTCCTGGGATGCGAGCATGAACTAACTGTGATTAAACTACAAGAATCTTGGCAAATATAAGAGAAGATCATAATGATTTTGCATAATTACTTGCTTTTGCCTCTGAAAATCCCCTGGATTCTGAATTTCTATGCACTATGTAACTCTACAGTGCCTGACATAAGCTACTCATTAGAAATTGTACTATTAGATATGTTCTGCTGTTACCTTCTTTTATGCCTGACTCCTCCATGTCTCCAAAGAAGGAAAATGTGAAACCACTAGACTCCTGAGCTACGTTAGTCCCAAGGTTAGGTCCCAAATCGCCAGGTGGGGTAGAGTCCTCTGCATCATCTTTGTCCCAGGGTATTTCTTCATTTTTTTCTGATTTTCTCTTTGAAGATCCAAACAATTCTTTTAAATCAACAGCAATATCATAATACATTTCTTTAGACACTTCAGGCAGTTTCTCACTCTCTTCCCTCTTCTTCTTCCTTTTAGCTTTACTGAAATAAGATTGTTAAAGAATAGTAACACAGCACATAATTTTTTTTAAAAGAAAGGTTCCCTAAAAGGCAACCCTGATATTAATGTCTTCCTAAACTCATCTAAGCACATTAATGAGTAGTTCAGTTTTAAGGTTTGGGATTTTGGTTTTGGTTTTTTTGGATATTTCCTATTCCCATTGCCAGAAATAAGTTTATAAGGTAGCATGACTATCCTTTTGGTTTAGACTTCTGACCCATTTCTTTTGACCTCCCGCAATTTATCCACCCTTTGAGGGTAAGCTGTGGGGAAACACCTGAGGTTTGACTCTAAAGGCAGGAACAAGTCTACTTTGTAATTAACTGCATCCTGACTTTTCACTTAATATGTGATAGCATATAAATTAAGATATTTAGGATAGATTTCTTTTCTGGCAAAAGAAATGTTAAGAGCTAATATTTTTTTCTCACAGCTTTGCAAATCTAAAGTCCATGACTGGAAGCAAAGGGATAGCCTGAAGGTGAGAAAGACAGACAGAAATTGGCATGCAGAGAGTAGATGGATTAGAAAGAAAAAAATGACATTACATGGTGTTTTTAGTGGTCACAATTCTTATTATACCTTGATTTTAGCAATAGCAGAGAGAACTAAAGAAAAAACAGAGCAGTCTGCATAGTTTCAAACTCAGTCTTCTGCTATGGCCATCTTTCCATGGGAAGAAACATCACATTTATAGTTACCAAGCTGTGATATTACCTCTCTTTTTCCATAGCACTTGGTTTCCTTTCAAAAATTGCATGGTCCTGTCTTGTGGGATCATAGCGGAGGGCATTAATATCTCTATAAAAATAGAAAAGAAAAACCATGAGACATTCTAAATGCTCAGCTGAAACCTACCCTAAACCTTTACAGTCAGATTCAAATTCACATTGACTTCTTTACCAAAAAATCTCCAAATCAATCCAAAACCTAATTGGCATTTAGAAAGTACCTGCTAGTCAGTGTCCGGGTCAGGAAAAATTATAAACAGAAGTGGCTTTAATCAAATTGTAATATTTCATATAAAATACAGACCTCAAGTTGTGTGCATTATGCAGTAAGTTTATACCTGCACCCGTTGATCTTTTGAGGAGGTATATCAATATAGCCATCCTTATTGATATATCTATCTACATCTATTTCTTCTAGTACCAAATATTGCATAAATTCAAATAGTCCAAGGGGTGGGGGGAAACACCAAACCCAAAAAACCATTACGCCCACCTTTCAAAATTTAAACATTTTGGGGACTTTCAGCTAAAGCAGTCTAAGGTTTAGATTGACCCCAATACTAGTGTACCAAAGCCCACGCTGCCTTATGGCAACGCAAGAAGTTAATCACTTATTTCCCCTCCTTTCCCTCAATTAATGCTTACAGCATAAATTAACTGCTTTTAAATGGCTACATACTATATCATTACCTGGGTATCAGAGAACACTGTCATTCACAAAACTTTCCTAAGATGACCTCTGCGGTTGCATAGATTATTTCCTCCTCTGCTTAGTCTTTAGAAAATACATGAAAATTTGTACAGAAGTCATAGAATTAAATATGATTGTGCAGCAGTCACAATGGTATTTAGCAGTCAGCAGTCAACTGATGCAGCTCCAATAGTGACTGTCGGTAAAAACTGCACACTACTGCATTACCCTTAACAATACTAACTTCCACCAATTCAGTCCACAGACTAATTTCTGTAAAAGTGCATAGTTATATGTCACAGTACTTCCAATAGTACATTTCCAAATCTATCTCATCATCCTCTAACAAAGGTTAGAGCATGCCCAACAGCAACATGTAACAAATTCCTAATCTAATGAAGAAATTTCTCAAAAGCAGAAATACAGGTAAATGAAAAAAAAAAAATTCTCCACTGAAAAAGAAGTTCAATGCTAATCACCTGTAGGCCAGAGAAAACAATAACCTTATTAACTGCTATGGAAGTTAAGAGTCCTTACTGACCTACTGCCCAACTCACATGTTCTTTGTTTAGCCAACTTAAATTTCTCTCCACAGAGAACAGAAATCTATCTTACATAGGCAAGGACTTATTAAAATATTAATTTTCATAACCAAAAATCCAATAATGAAAAATCTACTAGAAGAAACTCAAGCAGGCATTCAATAATTTTTTCCCCAAAATAATGATAATTACCAGCTGTATAATCTATTGGGACACTCAAGCTGGGAAACTGCATTAAAGGCTTGACTTCAAATGCATGCAACAGAGAAGGAAATACTTTTCTCAGTCACCCAGGCAGAAATTTTAGTTGTGAAACACTGGCAAAAATTAAGCTTTCCTAAAATTCCTTCTTTTCTGATAATGGATGATTCATACTTGAATTTCTTTGCACTTGTGGCTGTTTTAGTTGGCTTAGGGTGTTCCAGGTTGACATTCAAGAGGTTTCCCAGGATTCGCAGATTTTTCTTTTTCTCCGCAGCAAGTTCTTCTTCCTCATCTGCCTTCAAGATGTTTGTCTCTGCTAAGAGAAAAATAAATAATTTTTTTCCCTCGCTATGACCTGAGTAAGACTGTAATATTTGATACGTAACATTACTATAGTACTAGAAGAGCTCATACCTATCAACACATCACTTCCTTTATTTTAAAGCTACTTAGAGGCTTTCTTCCTTGCACCATAGAAAATCTTTGATTAGAAATGTCATGGCCATCTATTTCATGTGAAAATCAAATCTGTTATTTAACCTGTTCCCTGCTTGCATCACAAAACTGTGCAACTACTATGCCACTGACAGATGCTGTACAGAAGATCACATTAAAACAACAAAGGAAGTAGGCAGAACTAGGCAAAAATGTAAGTTTCAGAACCAAATTCTGAATCTTGAACGCTAGGTTAACACTTTCAGTTACATGGGGGAGAAATATTTAAAAAATTTTGCTTTTTTCAGCTTTTCTGCCTTCTGCTGTTTAAAAAAAAATAATCTTCCTTTCCAAGGCTGCCAAATCAGCTGTGGTCTGCAGGATGATTACAAAACAAACAGTTTCAATGAATGTAATGGTCAAAAAGTTTATTTTAATAAGTCACCACTCATCCTGTATTAAAAAAATATTTTCAAATGTCAATTTATCAACCAAGTATGTTTCATTCAGCTATTACAAATACTTTTGCAATCTATACATTTAAGAAAACACAGCTACCAACATATACTAAGTACAGCCACAACGGAGTTGTGTTATTTTCTTGAAGGAATCACCAAAGAAGCAAAAGTAGTCCATAAGTTGCTTCAAGCATCCAAAATTAAGGCTCCATGATAGAGCTTTATTACTGTCATTAACCAGGAAATATGAGCAGGTTTACCACCTTCTTCACTGTCACTTTCAAGGAATCGAGCATCCATGCGAAATCTTTCATCTGTGCCAAATCGTGATTGCAATTTCAAGAGCTAAACAAAATGAAATAGATCCTATTAAGCACTGGAGAAGAAAATCATCAACATTCAGTAACATTTTTTATTAGAATTATGGGAACATATTAATAACCTTTAGCTATTGATGCCTCTTCCAGAAATTTCTTTGTATTCAAAGATGACAACATCAGAGAAACTCCTCCCGCTCCCCTACACACATTGCTTCCTCCCTGGCTCCTGTTTCCTCTATTTAAGAGAATTCTATTGCAAGTTTGCAAAATCATATTCAGCAAGCATGCAAACCTACATGTTACGTTCTTCTGAAGTGGTGTTATGGAGACTTGGAAGAAAACTAAATTACAGTAATGGGTTCACTCACTTTTTCACCAGCTTTGCCTTCAAACTGGGGTTTAATTTTGAATCTCTCATTATCTGTATCATCTTGCTCATCCTCACTGCTTTCAAACAGTCTGCCTGAAGTTTTAGGAGCAGATTCATCCTTTGTTAAACAAAAAGAAAACACAGAAAAAACAGCCGTTTACGCAAGTTTGAGAAAATAAATCAGTATTAACTTTGTTCACGTGCTTTCCAGTTTATCTGAAAAAGTGGATTTCTAGAATAACCAGCTCACTTGTTGATCCATGCGCTTCAAATCTTATTTGTACAATTCTGTTTTGCAGTTATGACTATTAAATTTTAGCATAGGCAAAATACCCATGTAAAGGGTAACTCATGTTTTGTAATATGAGAGAGTTAGGCATAAAACAAAATTTTTCTGATTATGTCAAGGGAGATCAATTTTAAAATACCAATGTCTGATTATACCATTTCTGAAAAAGCCTCATTTATGGTATAAACTCTAGGACATAGTTTAAGTCAGTTGATAAATATCAATGATTACAAAAGGTAAGCACTCCATGGCTTCAAAACAATTTTCCATAGAATTAGAAGCTCTTTTAAAGAAAAGGAAAAATACAGGGCAGGAATTCTAAATACAGGGTAAGAGAGATAAATGTTTAAAAAGTGCTAAATGTGAGGAAAAGTGAGAAAAGAAGGTTTTAATAGTGAGAAGAAAAAACCCAACAAACCCAACAAAAGAAAAAAACCAATGCTTTAAAGCTTTAGCAGAGATGTGACTAAAAAATGTGATTCTAAAGAATCACAAAGAAGTTTTATTCCAGAAAAAAAGTACTTAATTGTGCTGAAAGTATGGCAGTAACATCCCGAGGAATCTGCTAAACAAGGTCTCAATTAGGTAAGGGGTAAAGAGCAAGTCCCACACAACTTCTTTGGACCCTAACATCACTTTAAAAACAAGACACTGCATTAATACGGATTCTTTGTCCACAGTGTTGGAAAGAGCAAAGAGTCCTTCTATACTACTTAAGTCAAACCTCTTCCCCTTCCTTTGACTAAAAGCAGTGAAATTTCAAAACTAATTATGCTTAAGCCCTGTAACTTAAACGTTCTTTTTCTTTTAATCAAAGTTAGAATATCTTTTATACAAATCTCAATCTCCTTACAAATTCTGCAAGTTCTCCAGCTTTATCAGATGCATGGTTAAGTTCTTTGAAACCTATTTCATGTTAGCAAAAAAAGAAGAATCATTCATATTAATTCAAACCTTACCTACTTTTTTCTGTCACTTCACTATGAAGAATAGTCTTCAGAATAAAAGGCATAGTCACAGTGATACGGAATTACCTTACAGAATACTGGACTTTTTCCCAGTAACACTTACTTCTTCATGCAGATTTCCCAAACTCGCATCTTTCTTCAATATCTCATCTACTTCAGCTTCACTTTCCACATCTGAATTGAATATGATGTGTTTATGCTTGCCTGCTGGCTGGCTATCCTATGCAAGAGTGAAACTGTCAAGTCAAACATACCAAATACTTGCTGCAGTCATACATAAACATCTAAAAGACATTTCCATGACATGAAAAGAGGAATCTACTATTCCTCTTGCAACTCTAGAGACATTCCAGGAATTAGGTATGCATCATTTTGTATACACTTAAAAGAAAACTGGCAATGTAATCAGAAATTCCAGAATATGATTTTAAAACATCTTAAACCACATCTATTAATTTCCCTTTTTCTTTTACTGCATACTATTCAGAGAGAGGTTGTAATTACCAGATTTGAAAGAGCTCCTTGAATGAGTTTCTTCTGTAATTCTCTCTCTTTCTGTCTCTCTTCCAGAGCTGCCAGCCTCCTCTGGTTATCCTGCAACTGTTTCTTTTTTGTATTAGGTTCCTTTGAAGCAGTAGCATGAAGACAAAGCTCCTTATTTTCCAGAAGCCTTGTCTTCCCATTCTCACATTTATTAGCTTCACATTCTGGATTTTTATTGCTTACATCCCTCTTCAATTTTTTTGAAAGCAGTTTTGGGCTTTTCAGTTGTTGTTTAACATGTTTCTGTGACGCCGCAGCATTACCATCCATGTCACTGCTCTCATCTTCGCTCTGATCAGCACTAGGAACAGCATGTCCATGTTCTGAATTTTGGTCTTCTTGCAAAGAACTGACACTCATCATCACAGACCTCTTCTTTAAACCAGTGCTGTCCTTAGTTAACTCTCTTTCACAAAGGGATCCCATTCCTCTGAAGGGCTGATATTTCAAACGCAACTTATTTTGTCCCTTGGAGCTTTCTTCATCAACATTCTCCTCCCCTGCTAAAATCGCAGCAACTACATCTTCAGGACAGATACATTGTTTTTTAACTGCAGGGTGAAATTTAGAAAGTTTTGTTTTATTTACAACATTACCCTTAGAATTTTCTTCAACACTGCACTGACTAGAACTCTGTGTACTGTCTGATTCTTCTACTGGTGTCCCAGTGTTTTCAATAGCTAATGCTTTTAAGTCGTCTAATGTAAGGTCTAAGCGATAACAGTTTTGCATCATGGATTCATAATCAGAATTGATTTCAGACTCCCCTTTCTCAGACTCCGAATAAGAGCTTTCACTATCACTTGTCTTTGCTGTACTGTTAACTGCTGTACTCTGCAAGGCAGCAATTTTGGATTTTTTCATTTTCCCTTTTCTTTCAATGTATTCTTCTTTTAAATTTCGAGTTTTCAGTGAGGAGTCATTTACCAAATCACATTTTTTGTTAGTTAGTATTTCTTCATTTTCCACGTTCACCTGTTTAGGATCTTCTAAAATTACAGTTTTCCTGCTACATAGATCTGGGGTTTTACTTTCAGCAATAATTTCATCTGTATCTGCTGAATCATAACCATTATCGTATTCCAGTGTCTCTTTCTCTCTACAACTTCTTGTGACAGCTTTCTTCATGGTGTCTGGATTACTTAAGGACCAGTGACTACTGCACTTTAATTCAAAATTAGCCCCAACAATTTCCACGTGGTCACTTTCAGTCTCGACATTTTCAGCTTTCTGTATTTCTGTCTCTTTCTTTACCATTGCTCTGATTTCCTCTTCAGAATCAATGTCACTATCAGAAACACTCACATTATTTTGAGCTGTAACTCCAGAAACATCACTTTTATCTGGTAATAAACCTCTCCCTGATATTTTACTATTAAGACTGCTTGATGGAGGCAATTTAGACTTCTCACTGGATTTGGATTTTGATCTCTGATCTAGCTGTGATGAGCTTGTGTTTTTTGAACATGACTGGCACCCAGAAGAGAGAACTACTGCTCCATTAAGAGCCTCACTGCCCAGTTGCCTCAGTTTTTTAGGTGGCTTCTTAGTTACAGGGAACTCTCCCTGCCGCTTCTTGTTTATGCTGTCATCTCTCTCTTCCAAGTGCCAAGTAAGCTTGGATATAGGAACTACATGTGTCAAGTCTGGCTCCAGCTTTCTAAGGTTATGGCAATATTTTGATGGGTCATATTTCACAATGTTAGTCCAAGTTAAGGAATTAAAACAACATGATTCTTTCAGCAAACAGACTTCCAGTCTTTATGAACAGGCTAAATTCTGCATGAAAGGACAACGAAGAGTCCTTTTTAATGTTATGACCATAAGCCTTTAAGCAACTTACTTGCAGTCTAAAAAAATTATTCAGATCACATAAACTTACTGCAAGATTTACTTAGGGGATTCAGTATATCAAGTATGACATAGCAGTCAATATTAAGACCGTTAAGCAAATATTACCCCATATGATGAAAGAAAGAAGGGAATTGAGCCTATGCCCAACCAATAGGAAAAGGATATTTTATTTTTTTGTTGACTCCTAAGGTGCAGGATAGGCAAGACTCTGCCGAATTTACCAACAACCCATTTCTAAAAGAAAAGAAAAATAATCAGTATTAAACAATAAAGCAATGGAAGTAACCCTGGAATAAAACAAGACGTATATTCTTTGATAACAGAAACACTAATAAAGAACCATCTGTGACTAATTCTTTTTTTGTTTACTCTCTTAAGTGAGATATATTCGCACTGTGCAACTTAGCCAGTTTCCTTCTCAAAAAAAACCCAAACCAAAACCAACCAACCAAAAAACCCAAATTTCTACAACCTGCAAATAAAGAGTGACAATAAAGAACTGAATTTTTTTACTTTACAAGTACTATTTTTAATATAAGGCTTCTGGTTTATGAATTAACAGTGGTAACTATACAGACACGATCACTGTTATTTTGCCCTTTTCTCCTTTCCCACTAAAAAATTAAAAATGCCCCCCATCACCCTCCAAAAACATTCTGTGCTTAGCAAATAATTTTGAAAACTTTACAGTAAATATAATTTTTCTTGCCTAAATTTGCATGGTCAGTGATTTTATTCTAAGTCTTACTTTTGTAAGCAAGCATGTGTAGACCCTGATCCTGAATGTGCTGAAGCACAGAGATTAGTTCCTGACAATCCAGCCACCAAAGACACACATTCTCTTTACACGCTTTTAAAGGTGACATGAAGATATTCCCAACATAAACAAGTAATAAAGCATTTACTAACTTAACACGACAAAAGAGGACAGTATGATCAAGATTATTTCCAGTCACTACAAAGAACGACAGGAGCATTGTACATGTCTACACATAAGGTATTTCTTTAGACTACTTTTCACAAGTTGGGCTGTCACACTTAATAACCATTTCTTTACATAAAGCGTAGAGATTTGACATAAATTTAGATGTAATAAAGCTTGTGCCCAATTCTGGTTTTTGTTTTGTTTTAATTCTCTATACATCTACCTTACCATACCTTATGGTCTGGCACCTCTGTGCCCGGTACTGCTTTCATGTGAAAGTCTACAACTCCAGCCTTTTTCAGTGATTCTAACAGACACGTTTTGTCCTTTCTCTGTGGCTTTTCCTTCTGCAGCTTTGCTTCCTCCCTCTCCATGGAAAGCCTGTACCAAAAAGTACATCACATATGAAAAAAGGTCTGCCTGTGTGCTAAATTATAGCTGGCAGTGACTCTCTCCCACAGAACAGTAACCATTCACTACTTAAGGAATTAACATAGCTGCTACTTTCAATGGAATAATGATGCAAAACGTCGCATGCATCAACAGTCCACCAATCTCAATAAAAACTAGAAAGAATAAGAGCATAGCAGATGAAAGCACAGCCATAATGTTATCAGATAAACAGAAAAAGGGTAACTTTAGCAACAACATATATTTTTTTTTAATTGATTTTTACCTGTGCAAAAAGCTTTCTTTGGCCAACTCAATTTGCAGTGTCCCCCCTTTCCATTTTGTTTTATTTAAAATTGACATGCCTGTAAAACAAGGAGATGGGAAATGAGTACTTTCTACATTAAAAAAAATACACTTTAGTCTTAACTATACCTCCTTCTATGACAGTTTGAAGTTTCTTTAGCATGATCTTATACTCCATTATTCACCTGATTTAAGGTTGTATATGAAAGGTCTAATACCCTAATCTTACACAAGAAGGTCTATATCAAAAATTAAAGTTCTGACTTCAAAAAGAGTCATTCCAGTCTGTATGGTTCAGTTCAAATACAAGCCTGAAAATTCAGATATGTGTACCCTGAAGTTTCCATACTACTGTCAGACAAGCTCTTCTTTACTTAACTTCTGTACTTTGAAAAATACAGTTAAGGAGTACTGAAAACCAAAGATAAAAAAAGTGTTGTACTTAGAACTTAAGGAAGTATCAAGGGCTGGGTTAGCTTTTAGTCGCTCTCAAACAGCTTTCCTATTCCTAGCGGCAACATTCCCTAGATAAAAGCGCACATTACCAATCCCTCTCTTTGGGTTCAGGTATCTTCACCTGCCATTTTGCTGCTACATATTACACATGTGGTTTTATAACCCTGCCAGTAGTTTTGTAATCCAACTATTCTGGGATTTGTAAAATTGCTTTAACAGAAGTAAGCTTTACATAAACTCTCCTTCCGGGTTTCCTCTCACATCAAGTCACTTCTAATGTTTTATGGACCTGACGAAAGTGTTTGAAGCACATTTCCTATACTTTTCATAAAAGGGTTAGAATAAACCCATAAATGGCCTATTTCAGTCACAAGGAATATTTTTAATCTGCTTACATCTACTTACTGAAAACTCCAGTAAAGCAGCTTCCACAAAACTGCAGCTTAAAGAAAATGGAATGAATATGACAACAGAATGAAACAGGGTCTATCTTGACCACATCCTGATTTGACAACATTAGATGAATTATCAGTAATGCAACTTGGCTCAAAATCATAAATTACTTTAAAAAAAAATGTACTTACACTTTCTAAGATCTGCATCAGAAATGCTGACAGTGATGTAAGCAAAAGTTTTCATAGGGTTCCCTGCTCAATGATAAACATTCAGTTAATTTCTGTACAATTTCAGTTTTTCCCTTAAAACTGAAAATTAAGTTATTTCCTGAAAATAAAGTCTCTCTGAAGCAAAAAAATCCATTTCACGCTACAAACTAAAAAATAACTCACTTTTAAAGGATGATGCAAAACTCTTACCCTGATCATCTTTTCTGGTAATAATCTCTGCATCCAAAACATGCCCAAACCTGCCAAATCTTTCCTGCAGTTCAGCCTTAGAAACCGTATGGCCAAGTCCTCCAACATATAAGCGTTTTGAAACTTGTTTCTTCTCCATGTTGAAGAGTCAAGCTGTCACACCTGTAACGCACACACTGTTTTTCTGTAAGAAGATAATAATAGTTCACTAACGCTTACATTATAGGTAGTAATGCAGTCATAACACCAAATTAGGGACAAATAGTTCCATCACAAGTCCTCCACGAATAACCTTTTGAGAAGAGTACTCCTTTGCTTTGCGCTAGGTTACACGTCTGCTCCAGCCCAGCACCAGTAAATACTGCATTGCTATAAGTAACCAGGGTTTAGGTGTTGGGCTTGGTGGTTGTTGTTTTTTTAAAGCTTGAAGAATATGACTGGGTACATGACAATAAGTGTAAACAGCTCTTAGCAATATAATCTGTCTCATGATTTTCTAAGGGAGGCGGGGGGTAAGCCGCCCTCAGCCTCAACTCCCGCCTCCCAAAAGATGCCGAGGACCCCGGGAACCGCCACCCCTGCGAAGACACTGCCACTCTCCCTCACCGCCGCCATGTGCGAGCCCCGTAGCGCCACGCAATTTATCTCCCCCCTCGCATCCCTTCCTAGAACTCTCTCGGAAAAAAGGGTTCCGCCTCCTGGGGCCGTTGGATTCCGATTGCCTTCTGCTGTCTTTCGGGTTTCTGCTTCCGGCCGGTCAAGTGTGATGGAGACACACGGATTAGGTCTTGTGACCGCGGAAGGTTTGGGCGTAACTAACTAGGAAGAAAGGTGGGGGGATTTTCCGCAAGACATGAGGTAAAAAAAAAAAAAATAAACAGCTATCAAAATAACTCCTTTGCTGTTCATCTCGAATAATGACCTCGGGAGCTTCCCTTCAAGCAATTCTGTTGCTTCGCGCGGGGGAATGAAGGCGCGGCCGGCGCCCCCTGCTCGGGCAGTAGCGGTGGTAGCGCCCAGGCCCGCGGCGGGCTGGTTGGGCGCGCAGTTCGAAGGGGCGCAGCGGTGGCGGAGGGGCGGGCAGGGCAGCCTCTCTCCTCTCCTCAGCGACGGCTCTGTGGGGGGTGAAGGAGGCCGCGGACTGCTCTCCTTGGGCCTGTCTTGTGCCTCCGGGGCCGCGTCTGGCACCTGTGAGCCTCAGCCCGCGTCTTGGGGCGGGCTGGGGCGGCACCGGCTCCCCCGTGCTCGTCTGACGAGTGGTGCTTTCCAGCCGTTACCTTGTGAGGTTTGAAGGCGAGAAGCAAAGCAACGAAACACGGAACCCTACCAGCCGGTTTCTCACAAACTCTTCAATGCTCTTCCCAGGTCTTGCTGTAGCAGCATAAGAGCAAATGCTTAGGGGTGTACATGGGTAGGTACGTAGAAATGTGAAATACTTACCTTTAACGCACAAGTATATATGTATACACGTGTGTTTGTACGCTTGGAGTGAGAAGAAATTATCATTATGTTTTATTTAATTAAAAGTATGTACGGGTATTTTTTTCTGGAGATAATGTTCTTTGAAGTTATAACTAGTCTTGGGTCTTCTGCAGTCTAGTAAAATCACTTGAGTTAAAATAGCTGTAAGCAGTATATGTGTTCTGTTACTGTTTTCAAAACAGCCAGCTGTTAAAAGAGGAATTAGCTAACAACTTAGGGTAAAGTTCTGGCTATGTTTTCTTTTTCCCAATGTACTCTTTATTATGACCAAAACTTTCTTCAATGTATCCAGTTAAACCACCAAATAAAACCACTAATAGGATGCATTAAAAGTTGGAGAACTTCTGTTTCTTTTCCGCATTCATCTTCTTTTTTGTCATACATTGCATAAGATTGCTTTAAAGTTTCAGAGGGAGTCACAACTAGGCACAAACTCGGCAATTCTTTAATTGCATGTACTTTCTTTATTCACTGAATAAGTTTTTAATGCAAAACATGTTTTGAATGTTATTTTCTTATATGTGTTATTCAGATGCTGTTTCTTGTGAAATAAACCAACAAAATCCTATTTCCCCCTCATCCCTTTTTATTGAACCATGTTAGTGTAAATCTTGCAACTACAGTAGGGGTTGTTTAAAAACACACATAAAAGTAGATTTATTTTTTTGTTCCTGGTTGAAAGTATTAATACATCAGTATTAAGCTGCAGAATGTTCTCCACAGTCCTTTGAATGTGTCGTGTCTAGACTGAATGTGAGATTTTTTTTTTTCTTAAAATTGATATTTGTTTATTTTGAATTACTTGTGAAACATGGTTGTTTCTTTGTGTCTCTCTACTGCTGTTTACTTGAAAGGCAGATTATGCTGTGGTGTTAGTAGGAACAGCTGTGCCTCATTTGATCAGGTGGATTGTTAGGTGAATTGTCAAAGCTGGATTTGGTTTCTGTATTTGATTAGGCTTGTTTTCTCTCTGCAGAACAGCTTGTTGTTCTATTACAGCAAATGTAAAGCACCTAGATATGCTCCTGAATGAAATAATGATTAATTAAGAAGACTCTTAAAGGAAGCCTTTGACTACATTAGATTCCTGATTTAACTTCTGTATTTGGAGGCTATGCAGGGATCTGTGTCTTAAAATTGGTTTAATAATTGCATTTGGACTCAATGGATTAAATCTTTGAGGAACTAATGCAACAAAGCTACTATCTATTTTGGAGAAAACTTTTTTCTTTTCTTTTTTCTTTTATGTAAATCAGAAATTTGTTCTTTGTCACATTCTTGCTGATATGTAGGAGCTTCCTGTATTCACTGGAAGTAGAATCTTTCGTCTTCATGATGCTTTTAGCAGAGTGAGTTACAAGTGTCTTAGGAAGCTCTGTTGCATTCAGAGTTATGGAAAAAGCAGCTTTTCAATGCTCTTGTAATGTCTACTTGCAGATCAGTGTCTTTCTAAGTGGACTTTCTAGGGTTTAAGTAGGAGTTACATTGATGACATAGTACTGTTGTATTAAGAGCAGAGTTTTACTGCAAGCCTAATTCTGTTTTCAAGTTGGTGGCAGAATTCCTGTCAAATTTGGCTGCTGAGGGTCAAGGTTTATATGTTAGATTAATCTTCTGTAGGAAACAGGAGTGTTTGACACTCTAGAATTCTTTACGGAGGTATAAATTATTATACTTGCCAAACCTACCTGCAATACTTAAAAATTGTACATACCAATTCTTCAGTTTTCAAAAGCCATAAAATATAATAGAACTGTCTCATTTTAAGTAGAGGGGTAGGACAAAAAGTTGCCTAATGTTATATTTACATTTCTTAAATTAATTCCTTGGATAAAAATAATTTATTTTTAAAATTTATTTAATTATTTTTTTATTTCGCCTAAGAAGTATACTTATTTTGTTTTATCTAGTAACATTGATTCTGAGAAATGGACAACAGCATTTGTCAAGTTTATGAAGATGAAATCCAGTCACTGGAAGAAGAAATTAAACTATTGGCTGAAAAGTATGAAGATAGCCAACAAGAATCCACCTTTTTTTCTGATGAGATATTAATGTCAATGTACGGCCTTTTTCACATGTTGGATTAATAGTGTTTCTTTGTCAAAATTGTTTAGGATAAGCTTTTGCCTCTATGTTATGACTTCCCTTATTTTTACAGTGATTCTGTTTAGGACATGGGCTATATATGGTAAAAGATTACAAATAATAAATAGTTGATCTCTTTTTACTGCCTTTTGTTGGTAGTTTGTGGGGTTTTTAGGATTTTGTTTGCTTTTTTTCAAAAGGCAGTCTCATAGTGGTCAGAGCATGATATCAGGTATGTTATTGTGCAGGGCCTGCAAAGTTATTGACTGCAAAGGCTATGTTTTCCATTATGCACTGTGAAATGGCTCAGTGCACATTTACTTTAAAAAAAAAAAAGGGGGGGGGAGGGATTGGGGACATGTACAGGTGTGGCTAGTTATATGCTAATGAAGTGCCATGTTAGGGCTTTTTATTTACATTATTTAACTGATATTCTATAGTAAATGTACACTCCGTAGATAAAATAAGTCGTTTAGATGAGTAAAGACATAGCGCATTTTTGTTCTGTGTTCCTCAAAATGGATACTTACATCTCAAGACTTATAATAAAGGCTACGTCTACCCGGCAGTGAACATAAAGTATATATGTAAGTTAGAACAGTTTACTGTTCCTAATAATACGATCCAACTGAAATTTGACTCACTGAAAACTGATCTTGGTCTGAAAATCATCAGATCACGTTACAAATGCCTTTCATTTAATGGTATTCCTGTATTGATGTGACAAAACATGTTCTTATGTCTCTGTCTTTTGCCCTTTTGATTTCATTTATTTTCTCTTTTTCAATTCTAGAAAATCATTCCAAAGAGAATTTCAGGGAGGATCTAAAGGACATGAATCTCCATCAGACCTGAAAGCTCAACTTGAAAGTCTAGAAACAGATCTCTCATTTTTAATGAAATTTACTGGTATTCAGTTCACAAGTCATTCCAAGAAAACAGTGGAACAAAGTAAGCATTTTTATGCTCTTTACTGGTGCTATACTGAGCATACTGTTGCAGTTCGTTACATTTGCAAATGCGTGTTGTAATTCTACTTTCAATGTTAGCAGCAAGGCAATTATTTTGAAATACAATAGAAATTTCTTTATTGACGAAATAGCTTCTGAGTAAGTATAGTACTTTGCATAGTGGCAAAGTGAAAGACTGCTGTGAAGTTAGTTGTTTGGGGTTTTTTTAACATTTAACTTGACTTCTTTATATGATGGATGCTATGAGTTGGTACTTTAAATATGACTAATGAAAGAAATGCAATAATTGTTGAATAGAATTACAATCAAATATTTTGTTAACTTTATTTTATAACAGCTAGAAACAGAACAGTGCGGAAGCACAGATTATCAGGGAATTGCCACTCCCTGTCTTTTCAATTGGAATTCCAGCTTCTTGAAATGCAGGTAAGGATCAATATATGTTTTAAAAAACAAACAAACAAAAAAAACCCCACCACCACCAACAAAAAAAAACAAACAAAAAACCCCCACAAACCAAAAACAACCAAGCAAACAAACAAAACATCAAATGGACAAATATCAATACTTCCTTTTCCAGCTGAAACCTTCAACTGATATTTTGTCATTTTGATTGCCTGAGTCTCCTTAATCTAAGCCTCAGTGGGTTGTTTTCACTCTATAACAGCTGGACCCAACTTTTGAATTGCATGCACATCCAAGCAAAATAGTTCTGAAGGTCAGGTTCAACAGTCAGTTATGAAATTCTTGTGTTCTCCTATGGTCAGTTACCTTGTTCTGGAGACTGCAAAATTCTGAATCTTGCCTCTCTTGAGGAAACTGAGGAAAAGTTAAAACACTACAAACTTGAACAATTGCGGGGGGTTGGTTGTTTTTTGTTGTTTTTTTTTTTTTTGCTTTGGTTATATTTCTATTCGCTTGGCTAGTGTGACTAGCCATTACATCACGGAACTGCACAGAAGTTACACTAATGATGGCAGATTTTTTGCAAGGAAGCTCTTTCATAAGAATCTATTCTTAGCACAGAATTCAAAATGATAAGCAGTGGAAAACAAGCTGCTGCCTCAATTTGTAATAGTATTTTTGACATCAGGGAATTTCCTCCTCAAGAAAATTTGATTTTCAGGTCAGCTTTAAAGGTATTTTTTAAATAGAATGTGTTTGGACCTGATAGTATTAAAAATGCCTAGCTATGTAAAGATGTCCTTCCTAATCTTAAGAAAAGCCATATTATGAATTTAGGAAATGAGTATCTAGATAGTCACATGTGGATTGCATAATTTGAAACTGCAGGAGTTCAGCTGCAACCTCTTAAGTCCATGCATGACTTGAAACTTGTGGTCCTAGTGATACCATTTTACCACTTGCTCGTATAAAACTGCATTTAGCTTTGAGCATGGAAATGGCTTGCATCAGTCCTGCGACTTGGTTAGATTAATGTTGTTTTCTCACCTGTATGCTCCTGCAGAATGATTCTTTTAGTGTTAGTGGAGCTCGGGTGAGTAACTGGATGTCAAGTTTATTTGTAGCTGCTTTGGTGATGCTTAAATCCAGTGCACCACTAGATGACAGCACTCCTGTGCATACTGCCTAAAACTTGTCCTACAGTGCTGATGAAATACCCTAGAGTAAGTGATATATAGAATACCAAGTGTGTATATTTTAAAAAAAAAACACTTCAGTTGAAAAAAAAATACAATTTTGAGTTCATTTTTTACATTAATTAATTTTTTTTAGTAAAAGTACATGGCACCTGTAACTTACAATTTAATATGGAATGCAGACAATGTATCAATTTACCTCAAGTTAATAAACTTTGAATTGCCAATGTTTTATGGTGTGGGTTGTGGACATGTCGTGGAAAATGGTAAATTGGTTAAGCATACACCAATGAAAAGTACAGTTTTTAATTGTGCCATAATATACAGGTTTTGTTTTTTATTTTTGGTGTTCCATACCCAAGTCAAGAAATACACTTACTGTTTCAAACACAGACTAATTTGTGTTCCTTTACTCAGTTTTTGTGCTTGTATATGAGCTTGAATGTTATTAAAGTTTTTGCATTTGATTAAATGTTAATGTGTTTTAGCTGTTGTACAAAGCATAATGTAATGGTTTGGCTAGAGTTGTAAAATACAACCATTGTGTACAGTTCTATATTTTCCTTTTGTTAGAACTGTTTAAATCAAATAGATTTTGAGAGAATTAAGTAGTTCAAAAATTCAAGATTAAGGATTGTGTTTTTAAGATATACAATTTTGTAATTTATACGATTAAAAATTACTCTCTCCCGTTTCTTTATAATGAAAAAGCATATCTCATAACTACGTTGTTAACAACTTCATGCAGACATTTTGCCTAGTCCTAGTTGGCTGTTTCTGCAGTGTAAAAGTAGTGGCATGTTATCTTGGTTTTGCCACAGACTTTGTATACTATGTAGGTCATCCTGCAGTGAAGTCAGTAGGTCCTCTGTGGATGCAGGAGTTTGTCTCCAAAGGTCTCAGGAAAGTTGTGAGTTCAGGCCAGACTAAGACCTGGAAACTTACCTTTAACTTTTTTATGCCTCTGGCTTCTTGCACATAAAAATGGACAAGCTTATTTTCTAAGATATGGCATTAATGGTTGTTTTCAAAATAACCTGTACTGAGATCAGTGTGGGCAAGATAGTGTAAAGTTGCAACTAGTTTCACCCATCTTGAGAAATAAGACAACTGTTTTGGGGAAATGCTTAGGAGGTAACAGATACATTGGTATGCAGTGGAAGATAAAAAATAATTTTTTTCACACTGTTAATACTGTTTAATCTAGTAGTTAAGTTACCATACAGTTAACTCGGCTGCAGAGTACCTTAAATCAAAGCTGTTAATACACAGTAACGAAGTGTTCTTGTAATTATCTCTAATTTGATCTTAAACAAAATGTTAAATGTCATTCTTGTTAAAAGCTGTGTTCTAGGATACAATTGTTCAAAGAGGGGTAGGGAGATCTGAGTTCACTTTGACTAGCTTTGAATGATTGAGATTATCTCTATATTACTGTAGTATTGGTCACTCACTGCCTGACATATTCTGCATCTTAGCTGGTTCTTTAGTTCTGGCACAGTGTCAGACTAGCGTATCGTTTATATTCTCAGGCTGGCTAGTGTTTTGCCAGCTTTGGGTGCAAGCAAAGAAGCTTCTGTCTGTTCACCATTGTGCATAGGCAGATACTTACAAAGGTCAAAAGGTGGATGAAGAAAACCGGTTAATGCAAAAGCATTGTTTGATTTATTTATTTTTCCCCTCTTACTGTCCTTAGATTTTAGGAGAGGACATGTACAATTGTTTTGGCAGATTTTCAAGCCAAGTCAAAAGCACTTGAGAAAGCAATCATTCAAATAAGAGTTGCTTTCTTCTCAAGAGCTTTCCTTTTAACTCTTTTTATTTGACCCCAAGATGGCATCTTGGCATATGTTAGTAACCCACTTATTGGAAAACCAGTTTCTTTAGAAGGTAGCATGTTAACTTGTGACTACAAGCAGCTTCTGTACAAGTCCATGCACGTGTTGAACCTTTTGCTCTAAATTTAAAATTATTTTTCGTGATGTTACTTACTTAATCCATTAAACTTTGTAGTGTCTTGGTTTGCTTTTTCCATCTTTACTGATGGCAGTGTAAGCAGTCCTTCTGTCCAACCAGTACTAGGGATTGCTGTGGTGTGTTGGCATTTGACTCCAGCTTGTCTGTTTAGTTTCCTTTGTACTGTCATTCCCATTTGCTTGTAGTGACTGGGTATAAGAAAAATAAAGTACAAAATCTCCAGTATAAAGTGAAGCATTTGCTATAGTCTTCAAGCCGTGATTTTTAAGCTGCTTCATTCAGTGTTATCTAACCTATTACTCTGGTGTGTTCAAGAATGCGAGGGAAAAAGAATTAAGTTCTTTTGTGGCCTCATTTCTACTACATCTACTATATATATCTATATACTTTTCTCATTTTTTTATAGGTTGTTAATATTTTAATTTGGAAACATTTTATTATCATGCACATATCCCTGAGGAACAATTATTGTAAAAAGGGAAGAGAATTTGAGGCAAAACTATAGACTTTAAAATTAAAAAAAAAAAAAAGGAAAACTAACAGGAATTTTTTTTTTTTAACTTAGGGTAGCATTATTATGGTTTTCAGATGAAACCTTATATTTGAGTTTTCTGGTATATGTGGCCGCTAGGGGTTGTGTTGGAAAATGAGAAGAATCTGAAAGAAGTGGAAGTGACATGAAAGGAAGTAGATGAACCTCTTATAATTATAAGTCTTCCTTTATACATACATGTTCTCTATGCTGACTAGTTCAGGTATTATTCCAGCAGCCACCTTGTATGGATGATACCAATACTGTTGAAATGAAAGAAAATGTCTAGTAGCTGTAGTTTAAAAAAAATGCTATTTTAAGGATTATAGTAGTTAGCAGCATTTGCATATATTTTTGTCTATTTTATCAGTAGATAGATTTTTTTTTTTTTTCCCCCTCCTCTCTAGAGAAATTTCTAAAATAATATGTTGTTACTTCTCCAATCTAGGAGAAAGAGAATGTGTCTGCTGTTATTACTGATCTCAGCATTATAATGGAATCTGGAGAAGATTCAGATGTGAGCAAGTTTGTGTCAAGGTAAGGTGGAGTTTTTTGTTTAAGGAAAGTTATTGTATGGGATATCTGATACTAAATGCAATGCTGCGTTTTCATGTAAATTGCTGGCAGTCATTTTCTTTGTTTGGTAATCTTAGCCCAACCTAAATGCTTCCAATCCCTTGTCTGTATCCTTCTGGAGAGAAGATGAAACGCATATAATTTTTAAGGCCTGAAAGGACCATTAGGAATTCATGTTAAACAGAAACAGTTTTTTGGATTAAAGTATATTTTAGCTGTTTGAAATTGCTTGGTAACAAGGTAATCTCAGCTATTGTATTTTAATTTGTGTAATCAACACATTAACTGTTACTCAGTTGTGTATGGGAGTTGCAGATGTGCAATGTGGGGGAGCAATGGCTAAAGTGTACATCCAGAACCCCTCTCCAGGACTTGCCTGCTTCTAATTCTCTGCTCACCATTCCGTTTCTCTTCTTTGCATTAGGATTTCTTTCACTGATATTTTAAAAACATTAGAACATAGTTTTAAAACCTGGAACAGTGTATTTGTGTAGTGGCTTAAGAAAATGTACACACTAAAACTTAAGCATATGACTGAATGCGACTTTTTGATTATTTTCTGGAGGATGTCAACTAATTGTGGTATACAGGATGAATAATGACCAGATTATTTGTCTGCAGTATTCCACTGTGAAATCTGCTAGCAACCTATTCTAAGAACAAATCTATTATTTATTAATTATTATTGTCTAGTTGACTTAACTATTGAGTTACATCAGGCTTCGTTAGTCTGTACCGAGAGCTGAATTTTTTATTTAGGGGCTTTGAAATTTCCATGCAAATCTGCTAAAGCTAGTGGTATAACTGAGAATAGTAGTTGACTGCTCCCAAGGAGCAGGATTTAGAAGAGGAAATTACCCTTTTTTTTCACGAGTATTTTCTGACAGCAGAAGTGTCTTGGAACTTAATAGTCATACTGGAAAGGAATGCATTGAAGTAGTGGCAGACTTTATTTCGTCCTGGCTTGAGCACTGCTGTCTTGTCCCTGTCTCTTCACTGCCCTGGTCCTTTTCCACATTACACCAGTATTCATAAGTAAACAAGTTTTCATGAATGATATAAGATGAACGAAGACTTTGCTGTCAATAAAGCAAGCAGCTCTTTGTCCTTAGCCTCTATGTGCATGTACTATCTGTTGTCCTTGTGTCAGCGTATATACTCTTGAAGCCACATGGCAAATAGGTTCAGTGTAGTCATTTGGTTGAAAAAGTAATTTGGGGGTGGAGAACCCAACCTTGCCTCCCCCCCTTCAAATATCATTTTTTCTATTTGACTTGTCCTGCAATGTCACAATGTTTGCGGCTGATCTAAGGCAGTAAATATGTGGCCAGAGTGGGGCTGATGTTGACAATGTCTGTTTTCACAGCAACCCACTGTTAGATTGACTTAATCTGATTATGTGAGCTCCCTTTATGGTTTGTTTTCTCAATCCCCTTATTAAGCTAGTTCTTGTTTCTTACTCTAAGTCCTAATCCCTTCTTTTCATGTCCAGTTTCAGGCTTTTCCCAACTAGCCTGTTATTCTTCAGTTCACCAGCTGCTCTTAGAATCTTGATTCCTACCTCTTTCCTCCCTTTCCCTCCATTCTCGACCAGCTAAATCTGGTGTCTCTCTGTATTGTTCGTTCTTTTCAGCCTCCCTACTGATTTCTGTTTCCTTCTTTTGCCTCTTTGGCCCAGTCTTGCCAAATTCATTGTCTAGCTCTCTTCTGTTTTCTCTGCTGGCCTGGATTTTTTCCTCCTCAGGTTTTTAATTTTTTGGCTTCATTTTTCATAATGCATGACAGAAAAGGGTCTTTAATAGCACCAGAGTTAAAAACTTGGCATTCAGTTGTAATTCCCAAGACCATCCTGCTTTGTAAGAAAACAGGAATGCTAGAACAACTGAGCAACATGTTTTTAAAAGAAGCAAAATTTAGCAGTTTATTTTCAACCAGGTACTGCTGCAATATATAATACCTATTTTTAAAAGAAGTGTACCATTCCTTAAATATGTTGTGACAATAAAATATGTAAGCAAATGGAATCACAATATTTAGTCTTCTATTTTTGGATTTTACTTGAGTCCCCTTTGCACCAGTTATCACTTATGTTGTACTTTATTAGTGTTGAGGACCAGAATATCTATAAAAAAAATCTTGTTGCCAGTCTTTTTTTTTTTTTTCTTGATATCCCATTAATTGTTGTGTTAGTTGACTATTGCATAGATTACTTAAACAGGAGGAGTTTTTAGACAGTTTGAAAACTGCTCTTTTTACTAACTAATTAGAATTTATAAGTTAGAGTGAAGGATTTATGAAATGTCTGCATTGTATTAAACACTGCATGGGCTAGGTATTTTGGAAGTGAGGGGAAGCACGAATTCTTTCCACAGCTGTAAGTGTCATTCTTTGGTTTTACATGCTAATGCAAGAAGTCTTGCATACTGCAGTGAGTTAAAATAGATTTCCTCTCTTAAAATAACTAAAGGAGCGTATTAAAGGAGCCTTAAAGACTTTTAAAACAGTTAGGTTTCTTATATACTTTAGTGTTTTGTTGATGTTATTTTGTAAAAGTGAAATAGTGTTTGGATGAAGACCATGTGATTTTAACCTGATACACCATACTCTCTGCCCCAATATGCTTTTTGTTGGTTTTCGGTGACTTCTCTGTTACATGGCTGTTGGTTTTGGAGATGGGTGTTTTCTGCTCCTAGTGGATTTTTTTTTTAAATCTGGTGACATTTTGTAATGCTAGATTCTTTAAAAAAAAAAAAAACAACCCAAAAAAAACCCCAAAAACCAAAACAACAAAAAAAACCCAACTTAAATTTAAACATGTGCTCTCTTAGTACCTTGTTATTTTATACTAAGCTTTCTTGGTATTTTAGTGTTTGTTGTAGTTGGCTTCAGCCTCAGGAATTAGGCTAACTTAGGCTAATAAGGAATTATCGTTTATGGGTAGTTTAAGTGCTATGAGACAGTAAACTGAAATGGTGTTCTTGTGGAGTCTTTCTCCCCTGCCAATACAAAAAAGCATGTGTATTACATATGTCTGTTCAGGCCAAAACAGATTTTCCCCCTTTCTAAACACTATATCTAGTTTTCTATCTTAAATTTAGCCAGTGCTATAACTATATGAGTAGTATATATTCAGGTATAATTTGTAGACTAATTTTTACATTTGAAACTGGTTCTTTGCCAAAACTATATCTCTCTGCTTGGTGATCTAGCCTTAAAAATTTTTGTCTGCTTTATCACCTAAAGATGAATCTGAGAGGAAAAAAGAAATATAAACAAACTAAAGACATAATGCTAAAACAAGGTCACAAGGTTTGTGATAGTCTTTTAAATTGCATAAAAGTGAATACTCATCAAAATTGCCAAGTTTTTTTAAAAATAATTTTAAGTACATAGTTTTGTAACAAAGTTCTGTGTTGCCCTCTTCCATGTATGTAGATTTACAAAGCATATTGTAGTATGTGTAGAATCATGTTCACTAGACAGTGAGATGTGGGCAGTCATTACTAGGTCTCGATTTTTACTACAGTATGTGTAGATTTTTATATGTACAATTACGAGTTGTGGTTAAAAAAAATGTCCAGAACATAGAGCTAGTCAGATATTGTAAATCGGTATGTGTCCAGGTCCTTCCAGGGACTAAATTTTGCATGTGCTGCCAGCATTTTTTTCATCTTGGCCTGATTTTGTTGGCAGCTGTGACTAATGTGGTAACTTCCTTTAATGGTGCTGTTCTTTCCAGGCTAGGATAAAACTTGTTTGGCTTTCCTTTTACACTTTGAATATCTGAATGAACTTAATGTGTTTTTTCCAGTTTCTGTTTGTGTAACATGTTAAGTGTTGCTGTTCCTATCTATTAAATAGAGCTGGATTTGAGGCACAGTTCTCCCCTGAATGGCTGAAGTGACTTGGTAATACACTGTTGCAACCATTGTGTTAATGGCCTCAAGTTTCTGCTCTCAGCTGTTCTGAAAATCCAAAAAGAATAGCTAATCTCAGACAGAAAGGATGCTAAAAGTAAAATTGACATGTAGAATTTAGATCCTCTGTAACTTTCTGAAATATTCTCAAATGTAAGTCGGGTATCTTCCTCACTTAGGTTTGTAAACTTGTAAAATCCTGTATTAGTAATTGAAATAAGTCTTTTTGTATTTTCAAAGCAGTGCTTGCCAGGTATGTTTTGACAATGGCTAATAGTCTGTTTCATTTGACTGTGGCTTCATATCAACAATGGCATGAAGCTGTTCGCCCTTATGATTAAAGAATCATGTTGCTTCAGGTATTCTGACACTTTTGTGGAATTTTGCATTCCTTGCGTTCTTGCCCCCATTTCTTTAGTAAAAACTACATGTGCTTTATGAGCATTTTTCCTCCCTCCCCCGACAACATTGGATGGATGGTTGGCTATTTGGCAGTTTGTCATCTTCTATTGTCTCCTTTCCTTTCTCTGTCCTGATCCTTACGTTACTAGACACTTGAATATTTTTTTCTGTTGTGTTTTTCTTAAAAAGAAACCCCTCCAAGACAAACTCTTCTTCCCCCCGAACCACCTCCCCACCTATTTTCTCTAATCTCTTTAATAAAATTATCCCTTGTAACAGTGGATGGACTGTCTAGTTCCTCCTTTTGATTAGACCTGAGAAGCTGTATATATGCTTTAATGGTTGCTGTCACTGTGGTGTTAATGATAAAGAGGGTAAGGTCTGTTCAGTTCCTGATTTCTACAAGCTCTCTACTGTGACGACACCTATCTTAAGTGAATAGATCTCTTCATTCAAATGGTTCTAATCCTAGTTGTTCTAAGGAAGATTTTTGCATGTTAATGATTTCCAGTACCTTGGTTTCCTTTCTTCTATTGGTGCCTGGTTTCCTGGGCTGTCTCAGAGTGAATGTAATGGTGTACTTCTACTAAAAATGTTTTGGTTGTATCCATCATAGTTGACATACTAACACAGTTTTGCTAGGAGGACAAAATAGTAAATGTATAATGAAAGAAAGTAAATTTAGTGCCAGTTACTGAAGTAGAAAAGCATATCGCTTATTTTTGCTAGCAAATTTCTTTTGTATATCAAATTTCATGACATAAAGGAAGGTACCAGCCCCAGTGTTTGATGCATTGCAACCTCTCTTACACGCAAAATCATTACTACCTTGTAGACTGATGAAAAATAACAGTGAAATCTCTCAGTCCAAGTTAGTGCGGTGTGTTATTCATCAGCATTAGTTTGATGTTTTGCTATCCTATTCAATAGGAGTAATCATCTTTGCATATCGAGAGCAGTTTTTGTTTTCAAAACTGTGTGTATTTTTCCCCGTCTGCAAGAACGGATAATTAGTCAGCCGTTTAGCTTTCCTTGATTCTGTACTTTATGCAGTGTTTGGAACTTCTTTGGAAATTACTTCAGCAGTAATTTTGTATATATTTTTCAAAATGTTTGTTGTTTCTTTGTGAGTGGAAGCTTCTGTTTGATTCTTTAGATACTGTGAATATTTAATTTTGAAATTATATTGAAGCTTAAATGATTTAACTTTTGTGTGTGTGAAACCAAATACACGTAGGAAATAAACTTCCTTATTTTCTACGTGCAAAGTATTTCTTCTGTGTGTTGCTTGTATTTTTAATTTGACTTTAGCACCAAAGTCCTGGAATTGTAATCTCTCAGGTTTAGCTGGCATTGTGTTTTGTTGGCTCTGTTTGTTAAGTATTGCTAGTGGAAATGGAAAAATCTTATACTAAGCATGGAATCATTGTATGTAAACATTTTCACTTGATGATGCTCAATTTCTCTGAAACTGGCAAAGCCAAAACTATAGGAACTTTTCTTTATTTCTCTTATGCTTTGTTTCTTGTATTGAAAATGCCTCAGAAATGCCAGAAAGTAAAAAAACTACTGCTGGCCTTTCTGTTTTCAGAGGCACTATAGATGAAAAACTAGTATTTGCAATAACATTGCAATTGAATGATTGCCTTGACAGAATAGCACCGATATGTTAGTCTCATGATACAGGCTGTAAGCTCTACCAAATCCATACTGGCTAAGCGCAAGTCCAGCAAAAGTGTCTCTGCACTGCTCTTTGCAGGACATCAGGTTCCAAGACGATTTATTAGTGCAAGTGTAGCATCATTTGTATGAATGAAGCCATAAAGTATCCGTGTGTAGCTGAACTACTAAATCACAAGGGAGCCCAAGACTGCAGAAATACTGAGGGGCATTCTGCAAGAATCAGCTCAGCTCCATCCAGGCTTATTAATGTCTGCTTACAATGGGCTTGGCACTAAGGCCTCTGTGCTCCACTTCTCAGTTACAGATTTATCGGTATTTCTCTCCCCCGTCCTGCCCTACTCCCTAATTATTGAGAATATCACTATCTTCTTTAATAGCTGATAAATCAAGATTTAAATGTATGTCAAAAGTTTTGTTTCTAGGTGCCATGTATGATCTAATGAACAGGCCTTGCTTACTGAAGTTTCAAGGTTAATCTTGAAAAGCTGGATGTCATGTGGGCAGAGGCAGATAACGTGTCATGCAAAGATTTAGTTGAATAGGACAAAGATCTTGGGAATATTCAAAGCTTAGTGATGCAATTTGGTAAATCTTACCAGTTTTGTAGGTTAAAGTTTTACTATGCAACATCTTGGGGTTTATTTGGAAAACAAGAGTATTAGATGAACAAGCATAAAGTCAAACTAAGATTTTGCAGGCAACTACTTTGTCAAGTTATCACATTTTACATATAAGAGTAACTTTATTGCTGCTTACCTTCCTGAGGAGTTGAAAACACTGGTTTATAAACGAATTCATCAATTTTTTTCAATATCTACACTACAGCTTTTTTTCCTGTCATGATAATTTTTTTGTGTGTGATTTCTGGCTTCAAATTTGAACAATACTAATCATAAATTCTTTCAGGAAAAAGTGCAAATTTTAGGCTATAGAATTGGTATATCTGACTAGTATTGTTTAGGTTAAACAATATATTTTTCTTTTGTAGCACTGAAGAACATGGAAATCTTTTAACGTTTTTCAGAAGCCTTTCATCTTATGCTGAGTGGTATGAACATCGTAGATGCACCTTCCTACATTTCAAGGTAATGTCTATCAAGCCTTTATATATCAGTACTATATTTAGTTCTTTAAGTAGTTCATTAAGACAGAGCAATGGAGATGAAATGAGCACTCTTCAGCAGAGTATGGGAATCTTAATTTTGTATGTTGTGGAGAAGAGAATATTAGCTAAAGATTTTTGTGTTGTGCTCAAGGGGCAATGCCCCTGTTTGGTATTTGTCTTGATTTTTACCATGCTATTGCTGTGTTCATCATATGCGGGGGAAAATAAGAATATCTGTGCCTTTCTGTGGGGGAGTAAGACAGTTTTTCATTGGTATTACATTTCATTTTGAACAAAAAAAAAAAGCAACAGAAGAAATGAAAAGAAAATAACGTTTGTAGTCTTTGGCATTTAAATGTTAGTTTTGAAGGACTGCATCTGTCTCTCTTGAAAATGTGGCAGCGTGCATTTGGGTGACAGCACTTCCAGTTTTAAAATGTTTTGCTTGAATGGGAAATAAACTATTCCTTACTCTTAACTGGAACATAGTATTTGAATTTAGCTTTAAATTACCATTATTTGGCTTGTTTGCTTTGTCTTTGTACTGGTTTTAAGATAAACAACTATTCCTTGGTGTAAAAACACTGCAGTCTTAGAGACACAGAATAGCTTATATGATGATTAATGTTAGAGGAGGATGTTTAGCTGCTTAATTGTACATGATTTTTTAGTTCAGTTCTATTTAGCTCAAGTATTTACTGTCATTAAACTCATCACCATCTTTGCTTTTCAGCTGTAGTACGAAGTGGGAACTGCTTTGTTTCCTATTTTTTGAATCTTTTAGGCCTTTGAGTTCTGTGCTAGAGTAATCAATTTCTATTATCAATTAATCAACCAGATTAAAGAAAAAAAGTACTAATTTCTGATAATGTTAAAAAAGAAAAAAAATCCTGTTCTCAGCTGACTAATAAACTAATGTTGTATAATCCTGCTTGTTGTTGTATAAAGACTTCTTTAATCCCTCCATAGAGAAGGTAGAGCACCAAGGGCTTTATGGCTTTGTGGTGTGGGTTTTTTTGATTGTTTTTTTCCAACTTCACTTGATGCTCTCTGATCCCTGGATCAGCCTTGTGACAGCAGTCACTGTGGTTTCTGGGACAGTGACTCAGTGAACTGTTGTAAATATTTCTCATTTTAAAATTCAGTACAAAAATGAAAAAAATAGAGCGAGCTCTGGACATGATTTTTAAATTGTGTGTATCCTAAGCACTTCTAAAAAGTATTTGTTCAGATGTTGCATATAAACAATGAAGGTATGTATTCATTGCTAAAGGATGTGTGAAGATAAATTCACTGAAGACCTATATCACAAGTTTGTCAACTTTACAAATATTCCTTCTAAAGGTATTTTTCTTTCCATGGAGGAAGATGCTTTTGAGAAAGGCAAACCAATTTGGGAGAATATTTATCAAATATGATTGACTGTGGACTTATGAAGAGTCTTTTAGGCTTTCTTATTTTTGCTAGCATTAGTAATGATTTCAATGAGAAACAGAAGACTTTCAGGTGAGAGAATTAATAAGGGGTTCAAAGATCAAATCTGACAATTCAAATAACCAGATTGCTAAGGAGAATATGTATTTGTAACTTAAAATTTTGTAGCAATTTGTGTGAAAGCGACTAGAAGTATGCTTTTAACATTTGCATAAAAACAAGTGAAGAGTCTTATCCTGTTAATATTCACACTTGGACAACATTAAAAAATGAGTCTGTAATCTTTGTATTTTTTTTTCCTACCTGCTTGCTAGGCTTCAAGTATACAGGCAGGTAACTGTGCAGAGTATTGGAGAGAAGACTATTTGGGGTTGGGTTCTGGGTTTATAGCTTTTCTATTATTTTGTTATTTAAAAGAAAATTACCCAGGCTGTTAAGTAGAAATAGATAGTGCTTCTAATAGTTTTCTCATGGTGTAGTGTAAAAACAGGAAAGTGTCCTGATTTCAGCTGGTATAGAGTTAATTTTCTTCCTAGTAGCTCATATAGCGCTGTGTTTTGGATTTAGTATGAGAATAATGTTGATAACACACTGGTGTTTTAGTTGTTGCTAAGCAGCGCTTACACTGGTCAAGGACTTTCCAGCTTCCCATGCTCTGCCAGGTGCACAAGAAGCTGGGAGGGAGCACAGCCAGGACAGCTGACCCAGACTGGCCAAAGGGCTATTCCATACCGTACAACATCGTGCCTGGCATATAAACTGGGGGGAGTTGGCCAGGGGGCAGTGATTGCTGCTTGGGGACTGGCTGGTCATTGGTCAGCAGGTGGTGAGCAATTGCATTGTACATCACTTGTTTTGTATATTCTTTTATTGTTATTTTTTTCTTCCTCTGCTGTCCTATTAAACTGTCCTTATCTTAATCTACAGGATTTACTTTTTTTTCCGATTCCCTCCCCCATCCCGCTGGGAGGGGAGGGTGGGCAAATGGCTGTGTGGTGCTTAGTTGATGGCTGGGTTAAAACAGGACACACAAGTCAAAAGTAACTTTGTTAAAGTAATAATTGTCACCCACAGCCAAGCTGTGGCTGCCTGACCCCTAACCCAAATTCAAAACACAACAGTGATTGCATTTGTTTTACAAGATTAGGTAGATTATTTTTTATTTTCTGTTAGTTTTGGTACCTGAGAAGAAAGGAATAATGTAGAAGTGATGGAATACTTCAAATAATAATGAATGTTTGAGATGAATGACAATTGCAAGTTTCATGTAAAGTGGGATAGCACTGTATTTCTAAAAAGTTAACCGTCACAAATGGCAGTTTTGTAGTGATAGTTTTCCCAGTTAACAAGAGTAGTGGTGGAATGGATAACTTGGGTTAAGGAAAAAAGCAGTTTAAAATATACATAGATTTCACTGTAAGCAGGCTTTCCTAGAAAGCAGGGGCAGGTTTAGGTTGATGCGAGTAGACCAATGTTCAGTTGTAAGCATTTTGTGGTCTGCATTATATACTTCCTGACACTGTGCTTTAGCAGTTGTGGTTTTTTACTGAAATAGGTTAGTCTACAACTTGCATGCTACAGACGGACAGACACACTCACTCACACGCTCACTCTCAAGAGTTGAGCATACCATTACTACCCTCTGCTGCTGCTCCTTTGTTCTACTGAAAAAATCTACAAGGTAGTGCTTTAAATAGATTTTGAAGGGGTGAGTGAAGTGCCCCACAAAGTCTTTCGTATGGCATTACTTGTATGGCAGGTCTTACTGTATTGCCACGATAAATATTATGTCTGCAAAATGGACTTAGATCTGCATATAATTTTCTGATCTAGACACACCATTAGTCTAGTATGAGGCTGAACAACTGAAGCACGTTGGCATTGCTGGAAGAGTAGATTGAAGCTGATATTGATAAACAAGAAAAAAATTCAAGTTTTATTGGAAATACAGAACAGAAATGAGTGATAGGAAAAAAATAGAATGGTGTACATTCAGCTTTATGTTAGTACTGGTCACACAAATAGAAGGTAAAAAATCCTGCATACTGAAGCCCTTCTCACTTAATGCTTTGATGAATTAACTTCCTATGAATGGGGAAAGTAAATTCAAACATCAGATAATTTATTGCCTGCAAGAGGCATTCAGAAGGTATCAGTTGTCTGCTTTGGTTTGCTCACAAAATTAGTGTTACTGTTGATATTTTTAGTACTTTTTCAAAAATATATACAACATTTTTAATGTAAAACTAATAATGTGTAGTGGTTAAGTCTTAGAATGTTTACATGTATGTATATATTACATACATGTGCATATATTTGTGTATACACATACAATTTTCATAGGAAGAGTTTTGGTGATATTTACTGATCCTATTAATACTGCAAAGAGCTTTATTCAGTAATAATGATTTGTGATGAGAATAAGATCAGAGGTTACTGCTTATGTAACATTAATACGCTTACACTTCTAGCTGTGTTTTCTCTGTCTTAGGCATTTATCAAAGGAGGGATGAGAGAATTGGTGGCTTTTATTTTTTCCTAGTGTAAGTTTGGCTTGAAGTTGGAATGTATTTCTACATGCTTTGGGGTTATTTTTTACCTTTTGCTAAAAACCTGGAAACATCAAAGCTTTATGACTTACATGGGAAAATGAAAACCAAGTACTATTCTCACTGTCAGACTTGGGTTTGTTCCCAGTAGTATTAAGACAACGGAATTTCTTTCTTGTTATACCAAATAACTTAAAATGGAAAATATTGGTGATTGCTATGTCTTTCGTGGGTAATGGGTTGAGGGCAAAAATATTTTTGTCCTACATTTCATAATTGCATCCTCTTTCCAGAAAGATGAGCTTGACATAGTTGATGCTTGACATAGTCACTTGAAAAGTGACTGAAAGTCACTTACGTCTTAACACTCTTAGTGGCAGAGCATTAGTATGTTCAGAATCAAGTGTGCACTTAATTCCCCATAGCACAAACACTAACAATTCAAGGCTTAGCTAAGTAAGATAAACAAAGCTAGTAGAAAATATCTTGTAAAATCAGTATTCTAGATGTAGTGATACATCATCATGCATTTGATGCTTAACTATTTCTACAAATTAGGAATCTATACTAGCTCCAAAATTAGTACGAAGTTGATCTGATAATAGTAACTATCACACTTTTTGAAGAGTTTACACCTGCAGCAGGTATATGAGGGGAGAAACTGAAAATGAAATGTCAGAAATGTATAGTTGTGTAATTAAAAATTAAAATTAATTGAAATAAAAACCATTGTGTCCTGTATCAATTATGTCTAGTTTTAGGTGAACTGACTGTTGAGCCCTGCACACAGTTTGTGCTTTTAATACACTGCATGGGTTAAAGTAGTTGAGTGAAATGATGCTAGTTTAATTTGCTTGAACTTAACACTATTTTTAGATTAAATATAGAATCAACTTTTCTTTTTAATTTAAAGATCTGATTTGATTTTTCCCTAATGAGTGAAAATATTGTTGTACAAGGGTACTTCTGTTTCTTTGTACTGACATCCAGCTCAAATCTTAAAAACACTAATTCAGCTTTGCATATTGTCATGTTTCCTTGTCAAGAAAAAGCAGTGGAACAAGGCTTGGTCTACATCATCTGTTAATAAAAAAAAAAGATACTTGGAGTCATACTATGCTGTACTTTGACCATTGTATTAAAATGGGAAGTTGGTGTTGCAAAAATGGCTCTTGTGAGTACAGCTGAGGAAAATGTATATATTTCAATTAAAAATACCTTGTGTAAAAATAAAATACATATATATACACACACTGTTAGGTTATTTTGAAAGCAAAATAGTAGAAGGAGATTTAACACATCTTTGAAAAGTTCCACTTGCTACGTTGCTTGGTACACTAAGCCTAAATAGGAATCATTCTCACTTTCCATAAACCAAGTTTTTAAGCTTTAATGAAGTTAAGCTTTGAGAAGTTCTGTTTCTAAACATAACTTTCTTTTGTATGTAACTTCATCCAATACGCTTTTGAAGGTCAACTGAAAAAGTTTCACTTCAGATTAAAAAGTGGGATTGGGATTAAGATGTATTTTTCCTCTATAGCTTGCTCAAAGAATGCTTTGCGTTTATTTGAAAGTAAAATGTAGTCATTGTTCTGGGTACTGGTAAAGAATGTGAACAAGCAGTTACAGGTGTGACTTTACCTACATGTAAAGAATATGTAGTGAAATAAAAGTTGAGAAGATATGTATGTACATACATGTATTTTTACACTTTCATTGACAGAAAAGTTTCTGAAAGCATGGGTGACATTGTAACTACTAAATAAAGTGGCTGTTTTGAAATAGCTATTTCAGGGGAGAACCACATTTCAACATAGTAAAAGGTTCTGGGTATGCAGGGAAAACGACATTAGTAAGAGAGAGGATATAAATGTGTAAACAGAGGAAATAGAATGATCTTCTGTTACCATGTTTAAGTTTTGGCATGTATAATTACGTAAGTAGTGGCTAGTAGTATGTTCCTACAGGCAGTGTTCTCAAGCAGGAAAAAGCATTAACATGCTTTGCCAAGAGGATCGGATTGCCTTCCATCCTTATCTCATCCATATGTGTGCGGATGTAACGTGTGTTATTAGATTTGCAGAATGTGTCATCGGTGATTGTAGTAATATTGTTGTACTGCAAAACAAAACAATTTTTTTATAAATAAATACGCACACATATATACACACACACCCATATATGTTGAAGAATTTTCAAACTTTCATTTTATTCCTCTTACCCTCCCATTTTATTGTCATTGGAATTTATTTATGTATACTATAAATATGTAGGAATCAAGTCTCTTCAAACCAATCAATCAGCTGGTAAGCAGTTCGAGGTTGTTATTGATGTTTGAAATGTATTGCTGATAAAAGATTGTTGCTTATTTTTACCATTTCTATCCTTGATATACAGAAACTAATGAGAAATTCTTGCACAGTAATTAGCTAACAAACAACTTTTGAACACCGAATGGTTGTGGCCATACAGATTAGAGGTAAATTGTTTTATTCGGTGGAGCATTAGGCAACTGTAGCACAGCTGCAGTGTGAACTGTTTTAAAAGACAGTGGGTTTGGTTTGAAGTATGTTACTAATGAGGCTCTTTGTAATAGAATGTTAAGGAAATACTTCAAAAATACCTGAAGGTGAAGAATACGCAGACTTTCCGGTAAGTTAAGGGGAACAGATTCCAGTGCATTATGTCCTAAGTAGAGGTAGGCCAAATTTGTCAGCTTCTAATAGAAAGAAAGAAAGAGAGATTATTAATGCCGATGTTACTTACTTGAGGTTAAGTAACTTGTGCCTGTTACAAGATGACATATTTTTTTTTCTGATGACATAGAAAGCCTGTAAAGTGATCTAACATGACACATTCCTTTGCTATGAATGTTGAATTCTATTGTATCAAGAAACTTATAGAACAGGCCTATGTTTTGGAAATTTCAGTGTCAGCTTATTGGTCATAAAACTTGAGACCACTATAAAACTATATCCTTATTTTTTAGTATTTATGTGGTCCTCAGAACTGTATTTGAGCCATCAATTTTTGAATCAAGTTTTTCTTTGCATGTAAGAGAAAGGAAGTAGGTAAGATATTTCATAGAAATTTTTTTTTTGTGTAGACGACATGAGAGAGTGAGTCCACAAAGGACTATTATTCCAAAGTGCCTTAAAAACAAAAGAAAATCTGGAAAGCTTCTGCATCGTAGTTTGTTTCTTAGGTTACAAAAATACAAAAAAATTCATTTGGTGGTATACTGGATAGTCTGGTTACTAATTTTATTTACTTAGGTTACCTAAATTATGGTCTTTTACTTACCTTGAAAGCATTTGCTTTGATTCCTCTGCTCTTGATTCTATTTTGATTTGCATTAAATGTTGTCAGTTTGGGAGGTAGAACAGGAAGTTTTAGAAGTCGATTTTCAGCAAGAGAAAGTTCTTCCAATAACAGAAGCTTTGAAAAGGCTCCATCTTCTATTTCTTCTATCCTGTTTCCACTAAAATCAATTCTTCTCAAGGTAGCTTTACACAAAAGAAATGAAAATCTAAATATTGAATTTATAATGGCATGTGAAACATGTATGGTTGTATATGTTAAATGTTGCATTGTTGGCTGCACTGTCCTAATTCTGATCTACAAATGTAAATATTTTTAAAATATGGATAAAAATCCACATTTGGCTTTCCTTATCGTCTTAAATTAAAAAAATAATAATAATACGGAAAATACTTTGGATCCTTCCTCTTCTCTTAGAGACAACATGATTTCAGACATTCATAGAATTTGTCATGTTGTAGAGTGAGATAGCTGGGAGAGATGTCCCTGGAGCATTTGAAGGAAAGGTAATACCTGGTCATTTAAGACTGGCTGGTATGCAGAGTTAAATTTTATTTTTAGCAAACTGCTCTTTCTGTGATTGTGTGGGAATATTAAGATGGATACATGGGCCAAAATGGGTTTCCACAGTTCCTGTTCTAATACAAGCATTGAATTAAATAAATAATACACATAATGAAATCTAGCAAATTATAAAATATATCTTATTTTGGTAATCTTGGCATACTATTAAGGGACAACAACTTCAAATATACTATCAGGTAAATGGAAATTAAGATTTGAACATTACTTACTAATGTCAGCAAAATCGGAGACTGCTATCCTTTTTATTTTGTTAAATCGTGCATAAAGATACGCTGTTTCCTTTGGCAGTGGGGGTACAGCTTCTATGTCTATTTCCTCACAGTACACTGATCCGCTTAAACACACACAGAGCAGACAAGTAGGTAAATCTGAAAGCAAATTATTTTGAGTAGACAGTTAAGTTATTCAACTAACTTAAGCTTGAATATTCAAAATAGAATTTTCTCTAGTATCTTTTTAAGATTTCCCATTTTATATATATATATATATATTTTTTTTTTTTTAAGAATTCTATTCACATCAGGTTCTGGAAAGATTTAATATTCTGAACTTTTTTGAGTTTTGTATTCTTTTTCTTGTGCATAATTTCCCTGTGTATATTCTCTGTTCTTACCTGAGCATGTCTTGAAATGCTATTAACTGATCTTAATTCAGTTTCACTCTTTAATTGGCTTAGAGTATTGTGAATATGACAACTGCAACTCTGTGGCCATGTTAAATATCATCTTTAGAACCATTCTTTTGAAAAGAGAAATCTATGCAGGAGAAACATCTGGCAGTGCATACATTTGATACTGTAATTGCATTGGAGCATTTCTGGCAGGGTCACGTATACTCTGTGTTACTCCTAGCTACTGTTTTGTCTAATTCTTTTTATAAAAACTCCAGAAATGGTGATTATATAATTACTTTAGACAATCTGTTCCTGTTTTTTTTACTGAGGTTTTTTATGGCTGTTATTTTAAGTAGTGGAACTCTGTATCTTTTTTTAATGCAGTTTAAGCCCATTATGGCTTGTCCTGTTCCTCATAGACATTAGTAGAGTATTAGTAATTTCTGCTTTGCATTAATCCTGTATGACAGCAATATTAAAATAGATATAATGAATGTGGCTTTCAATCCAGTTTTGTCACCACTGCTATCTGATCTATTGTGTTTTCTGTGTTGTGAGATTTTTGGTTAGTTTCCAAATTGGTCGGTCTGTAGTACAGAGAGTAGTGTCATACTGCTAGGTAGTTTGTTATCACTATGTAGCAAAAGAGGATCTTCTCCAACCAGTAAAGAGTTACAGAAGTAGTTGGTCAACACTGGGAAGCAAACCCAGTAGGTATAATAGAGTAATTCTTTATTTTTCTTACAGAAGTACTGCAGAGAATGGAATTGAGATTTTGAGCTTTAGCTTTGTGAATATTACCATTTGTTAGACTTCAGAATTCTGCCCCATTTGCCTTTTTTGATTTAGCATCTTATTTGTCATATGCTAGAGTGTAGGACACGGAAAATGATTGTGAAACAATGTTGTCGCTATTTAAAAGGCAACATTTTTTATGCTTGTCTGTGACTACAAGCTCTGGTGTTTTTACAGATTTGTTCTGCCCTTGCTGGGGGCTTGTTGACAGATGCTATTTGACAATAACTAACCTTGATTAAAACTTTGGAGATTGATGCTCCAGTGGTCTTGCTGAATCATCAGTTGCTTTTGGAAGTTTGGATCACAGATACACCCAAAATGTGTGTCTTTTTTTTTTTTTTTTTTTTTTTTTATAATGCTCTGTTTGGCAGACACATTGTTCCTTTCACAGTTAGAAATCACTGTGGCTTGGTAGAAGTCTGGACAATACACCTTAAAGCCTGTAGAAAACTTAGGCTAGTGAAGAATATTCCTGATGTATTTTAACCATTGACCTCCCTCATCATTATATGTAAACTGTGAGAATAGCCAGTTCTTCAAAGAAATCTATTTAAGTAGTTTAAGCACATCATATTTCATCATTACTTGGTTAAACTGTGGAACTTACTGGGGTGTGTATTTTGGTTTTCTTGCATGTCTTGCCTAACTTATTTAACTTGGGTACATCTCTACAGCAAATATGACTAGGTTAGTCTGTAGAGATTCTTGTAAGCTGTGCTTTGTGTATCCGGAGTTTACCTGAGGATCCTTTAATTTTTTTTTTCTGCCTGCTCCATCAGAAGTTAGAAGACTTTCCACAAAGTTTTATGAAAGATATTAATAAATAAAAAGATTAATTCTATACTCCTTGTCATGCTTTATATATTAAATTTTCATATTAATATATTTTCTTTTGGAGAGCTTAAATGTTACAATATTCATATCAGTTAACTTACTTGTATCCTTTGTTGGTGGTACATTGCGTTCGCTGTCATCCCCTTGCAGTATTAGGGAAGTGTCAAGAGAAACATTTGTTCCATCCTTTGTGTTGAGAGCAAATGTTATTTTAACAAAACAAACAGCAGCAAACAAAAAACCACAGGGTATTACAAGGATCTGAAATAGCAGGTCTTTTAAAAATGAGCTTCCTACAACAAACCTCCTTATGACATTTAATTTTTAAAATACTCTTATATGCTGATGACTAATGTGATATCCCTTTTGTAGATGAGCTCTTCACTTTGAAAGGCAAGAAGGGAAGGAGGTGCTGCTAGTGTTCTTTAGAAAAGTAAGGTTCTTCAGGAAAGAACAGTAGCCACAAAATAAAAATAGAGAGAAAATACAGACTACGTCGTGGGGAAGGAATATGTAAGCAATGGGTGTCTACCCATTCAGAACCTGGAGTTCTGAAGATAGATTTTGCAAATCCTGCAAAATTTGATAGGATTCTTGTGAATGTAAGTTGTATTTTTTTTGTTTTACCCAAGTAATCACAGTAAAATAACATTTCCTTGTGTGTGTTTAAACTTATTCAGAATTCCCTGTCGAGATAGTCATTGCATCTTTTCAGTTGCAGGACAACTTGGTTTATAAACATATTCCTTTCAAGTATTGGCAGAAATTTAGCAATTAATTTCCATTAACTGTACTTAAGTCTGTTTTAACATCTGGGCTGCTAACAGAAAGGGCCTTTTGTGATGCAGGAAATAGTTTTCATTGAATACCTTAGGAATTTGAGAATTACATACTATTTCTAGAATTATAGTATACATACAGTGGGTTACACTGTGATTTGCATGTATCAAAGTTAAGGGGACTTTTAGATTGATTGTGGCAATTGTGCTTGGCTAGCATCATTCATTATCTTTTTTGATGGGGAATAGTTGTAGGACAGAGTAAGACAATAAGCTTTTTGGTCTGCGTTGCTATTGAAAACATATGGGGAAAATACTTTATCGGGTGTGGAAGGTGTTTTTCTTTAAACGTGCTTAAGGATCAGGCCCTGGCAGGAGTACGGTCCCCTGTTGAAGAGAGCTTCTTAAGCGCTGTGAGTGCTCACAAGTGGACTGGTTTGTGGTTTGGTTTGGGGTTTGTTGTTGGTTTTTTGTTGATTTTTTTTTTTTTTTTTAATTCTTCCACAGTCGCCCCATTCAGACATGTAGCACACATAGTTCATCTACTAGACTAATGTGAAAGTAACACTATCTGTCAAGTTACTTTTGATACTAACTTTGTTTTATTTAGTATTTAGTTGCTTGCATATATTTTACTGTGGGGAATTCTTGTATTCTGCAAAATACAACCCTCAATCTTGACATAAAGCCTGAGAAACAACTATTTTGGCCAGCCTCTGCCATTTTGACCCTTTTTTTAGCCTGTGAATCATCTATCCCTTGGCTCTTCCCTGCAACTGTCTATCTAGGCTATGGCTCTTTTTTGCCTGTTGTTTTTGTGTAAAGTTTGGGATAGGTTGATGTGTTCTAGCAAGGCTTTTATGCCCGAGTTAGAATGCTGGCAACAGGTTAGCAGTTGTAGCATGAAACTTCTGTGTAGGGTAAGAGCTTTTGCAGCGTTGGTTGTAGAGATGCTGGGGAGTGTGAGCTGAACAGTTAGACTCAAACAAGCAGCGAATCTTACAGAAGGTTTCTGCAAAAAATGTTTAGCTTGCATAGACATGTTGATTAGGCATGTGAAGACATGGTCCTTGACTGAGGTATCCATGCCAGTAGAGACTTTTGTGTAGATGGACTTAAAATAGAACAACTGCACTTCTATTGCTGTAGCATGTTTGGCTCATAAGGGACATTTTTAATATGCTTGTATGAAAAACATATTTGCTGACATAGCCTATCTGTACCAGGTGTAGATTTCTAGTACAGTATCTTACTGGACGCATGATCTATGGAAGAGTATGCATGTGAGTTGTTTGCAGAATACAGTGTACAACTAACTTCTGCAAGTGGGAAATGTCAACAAAAAATAAAACTGATTATTTGCAGAATACTGTTAAATCCACAAAGATTCCTCCCCCCCACTTCCACCTCCCCAAAAAAAGTAGTATAAATAACCAATATATTGGAAGTATTTCCTGGTCAGCTATAAAAATTCCTAGCCATGGAGTATCAGTGCAGAAGATTATTTCGATTATAACCACAGAAAGTTCATTACTTGCATATGTAGGGAGTGCACTGGAGGAATATTGGCCTACTTACATACTTAAATTCCACCTGCCTCTTGCACTTTACTCCACAGACCTGAATTACCCATACAAAACCACATTAACATTCATCTTCATAGCACATAAAGGTCTATAAAGCTGATAGTTTATATTCAATGGAATGAATTAGTCCAGATATGAGACAGTGTCTAATTGGATTGTTCTGTTCTGTTGTGGAAATTAAGATTTCATGTTTTTAAGCTTCTAACATTTTTATTCAAGACTAGGGCGGCTGTGGTTTCAAATAATAATCATTGCCATAAATTTTGCTTGGCTGACCTTTTCCTTAGCAGTAGACTAAGGTTCACTTCATTTTGTTGATCACTGACGCAAATAATTTCTTCTAATGTTTTCACTAAAAATCTTTTTTCTAGCTGTGCGTTCAAGCACACAGTAAGGAGTTAAATTTGTCATGCAAGATACATTTCTGACTGGGCACGTTTGAGGAAATTGTTGGCATGTATTTCAGTTACAGTTAACACTTGAAATATTCTGGGAGCTAGAATTTGTGCAGTAAATGAATAGAAGATTTGTTTGCACACCCCATGATTTAAATTGGGAACACTGGAACTTGTATAGATGTATTTGTTGCACATAAGGAACTAATTTATTATTTTGCAATGAAAACATGTAATTGGAGAACTGACCTGATGGAAATAATGACCAACTGCATTCCTAGAATTATCCTAAGCAGAACTGTTGGCCTTCAGAAGACCTCTAGTTTATAGCACTGCTAGTATGGACTTTCATTAGTCTGTGGCACATCTGTTGGCACCATTTCCTTGTAGGTATACTCCTTAATGTTCTTTTTACTGGAACAGTAGTGTATTCTTATTAGAATGACTTTAGTAATGAATGTCATCTGATGCTGTGCCTAACTAGTTAAAGTTAACGTTTTTAGTATTTTTTTTTTAAAGCTTACTCAGTTGTGAGTGGATAGCCACCTATTAGTTACGAGTCATTTAAATGGTCTCTTTTTCGTAGTTTTATGAAATATGTTACTTCATCACTGTGGCAGATGTCAGATTTAAAAATACCTTAGACATTTTTTAATATAAATATGTAGCTGCTGCTTTTAGTCTAACAGTGGAAAGCTAGAATTTAAGTAGAATTGGGAAAATACTAAAAAGGTATACAGAAGTGATTTTTCTATATATGTGCTGCAATTTTTTACTTATACTAATTATCTTTTGTTGTTGTCTTTTTTTCTTGTTTATCAGACTAAGTTATTGTAACAAGTATAGTTAATGAAAGCCTCCTTGAACTTATTAATGCTTGGTTGTTACCACTTTGTTTGGATATGTGGTATTTTCCTTGGCAACTAGTCTTAGGGCAGTCATTGTTTGTTTTTTCTTCCCTCTGCCTGATCAATGTTGTATCTCATTCTCTTGATGTGTATTGTTTAGGTCCTGTCAGAGGCAGTCTGAACAGAGGTATGAGGTTTTTAACTGTCCTTATCGGCTGAGGCTGTTGCACTTCATTTAACACTTCTGGTTTTGTGTCTTTTGCTGAAGTGTTTAAATTAAAAGGGGTGTGTGTGGAGCACATAGCAAAAAAAGTTCAGAATTGACCGTTTGGGGGTGCTGGTGAGTGCCATGAGGTATAGTCTTTATTGCTACCTTTAAGATTCTCAAAGTGTTAATAATGTAGGTGACTACCACAGGACTGGATGTTCCATAGTAGTTCAGGACTGCTAAACTGTTGAGTTGCAAAAAAACCCAAACAACCCACCCCTGAAAAACCAAGGCAAAAAACTTGATAGTTTGGTAAGTCAAAAGAGAAATTGTGGTTTATGCTGGCAGGTTATGTCCAATAAAAAGTACTGTTTCAAGTATTACTTTGATATTAAAAAAAAAATCCTAAATAAAATCACCCTCCTTGTTTTTAAACAAACTTTCTGTGTTAATACAATGTTACTCAGACTGTTGAGCTAGTATGCTAGTATATCCCATTCTTGAAACTCTTACAACAGTAGGCACACAACTATAGCAGAGTTAAAAATGATGCTTTAGTCTTATTTGTGAAAGCCTGTCTTTTGTGGGTTTCTCAAACTGTAGCCAGGATAGTATTTTTGTGGTTTTAATTTGTGGCTTTCCCTATGTCTGAAACCATTGTATGTTTTGCTATTATTATAAGACTTTTCCATAAAACTTGCATACATGCATGTAACACCTTATTCATATAATGCTTAGCAGTTAAAAATATTAAACTGATAATATAAATAAAATACCTTTCTTATATCCTTGGATTGCATTTCATAATCTTGTTGGATCAGGCTTCCCATGGTAACATCTGTATCATACTCATAAAACTGGAGTGATTCTTGCTGTATAGGTGGTGCTGAATTTGCCAAAGGTACAAACACAAACAAAAAAAAAGTAGTCTGCAAAGTCTTCATTCTTGCACGGAACAATATATCTGGCTTTCAGTTAGCTGGTGGAGATCTACTCATGTGTTGACTATGGAGAATACTTTCTTTGTGACTGGAAATGAAAATGCAATCTGTCAAAACAATATTTAAAGCCTAGAGGACTAGTTGGCAGGGGTTTCTAACGCATAAGGAACGTGGAACAACTTTTAACTCTTGATATCCTTTAATTAGACTCTAGCATTATAAAAACTATTCTTAACATGAAAAGAAACTGGGAAATAATAAACAACATTTTCCAACTAATAAGGAAAATATCTTAATTGCATTTGCTTGTTTTCCAGTGTGTTATTTTTGTTAATAGCAAGAGGATTTTTGTGAAGCATTTTATGAAACATTTGGCATGTATGTAGCTGAACTAATTAAAATGAGAGCGGTT